CTGAGTCACTGGAGTTTTAAGGTCCTGGAGTTGTTTGGATGTTGTACAAAAATATTGCACTTTGATACATTAGGGATTCACGGTCAATATTAGGGTTAAAAAATAGAAGAGGGAAAAATCTAAAAGAAAGGAAAAAAGGAGACCTAAAAATTATAGGAAGATACATAGGAAACAACATAAAATGGTGAATAAATCCAGATATATTGGGCATTTCTTTTAATTTCAAGGACTAGATGCCTTAATAAGTTCCAGGAGAGACGATCACTCAGAACTCTGTCATTTTTGCAGTCAGTGCAGCCAGGCTGAACTTGTGTTTTCTCTTCCTAGGTCTCCTCAGTTCAGTCAGGACCTTGCTCAGGGTCCTTTCCTCCGGAGGCTTCTCTCACCAGCTTGTTGGGGGTCTTGCCTTTGTATTTGTTCTCTTTCTTTCCATCATGTCCATTCTCTCTGGAACCCAAGGCCTTTTCTGTTTCTTTCCTGTCTCTTTTCCTTCTTGTGCCTTCTGGAGAGTTCTTTGGTTTCGTCTTCTAATCTTCCAACTCACTACCAAACTGCTCCATTCTTTCCATAGGTTCCACATGCTAGGTCTTCCCTTTGACAGTGTTTTCCCTCCCCAGGTGTCCATGTGATCCTCTGGTGTGGACTTTCAGGCCCAGACCTGGGACAGGTAACTTAGTCTTGTCGTTTGCTTTCTGTTTTCTCCAGTGCCCACTCCTACTTGGTTTGGGGTTGCTCAGCACACTTCTTTTCCTCAGACTTTGTCTCTTCAGTAGCTGGTGAGGTTTGCATTTTGAGAGTGCTTCTTATCCTCCTGTTGCCTGTCTCTGGGGCCAAGGTGCAAAGTTGCAGCTGATGTGGTCTGCTGTGCTGGTCTGTCCAGTGGGATGTGCTCTGTCCTTTGCCTCAAGGTGCGCATTGCCTGTCCCCCTCCTCCCTGTGAGCTTTAACCTGGTGCAGACCCACTGCCCAGTCAGGCAAGGTACTGGAGGCCCAGCTAAGTAACCCCACACAGTCCCCCTGGCTCTTCCCGACTGCATTTCTCTGTGCCCACCTGCAGGTTTTGTCTGGTCTCTCTCTGTTTGACGTTTCCATGGAACCTGATCTTATTCCTGATACAGGCTTGTACTTTGTATTTTCTTTTCAATTGTCTGTGTAGATTTCACTCCATCTGCTTCCTTTCTAGACAGTCACAAATCACTTGATGATCAGGACACATTCAGAGAAATGAGTCATTAGGTGATTTTGTTGTGCAAACCTCATACAGTGCATTTACATAAACATGCCTGGTGTAGGTCAGTCACCTGAAGTGGTCTCTTGCTGTTGTCAGGAGACCCAGAAACTCAAGGTGCAATAGGCTGGTGCTGGCATAAGACAGTTTGCTGTCTGTGGAAGACTTCTTCTTCTTCTTCTTTTTTTTTTTTTAAATAAGTGGAGGGAGTATGTTCTAAAATAATGATAAAAAGCTTAGAATAGTAAGTATGTAAGCTAGTACAATTGTTTATTATCATCAAGTGCTGTATTTTTATCTGACTAGATGATAGGGATTTGTCAACTCCATTGTAATCTTCTGGGCCCACCATGGTGTATACAGTCAGTTGGTAACTGAAATGCTACTGTGTGGTGCTTAACTGTATTTATTTTCTATTGTTCTTTAACAAATTAACCCCAAACTGAGTAATTTACTATGACAAATTTAAAATGGCACAGGTTGACAGGGCCTGGGCCATCTGAAGATGTGGCTGTGGTTGGAGGGTCTATATCTGAGCTGGCTTCCTTTCATGCTTTAGGCTGGAGGTCTCAGTCCCTCGCTCTGTGCCTGCTCCTCTGGGTTACTGAGTGTCTTCATGGCATGATGGCTCCCTTCCCCTGAAGTGGGTGGTTCCAGAGCACACTAGGATCTCAGTGTCCCCTTGTGGAAAGGGCCACAAGGCCCATCTCCACATTTGCCTTGTAGATAGGACCAGCTACAAACCTTCAAAGGGCCACATGAACCTTGGCTTTTCTGTTGCATAAGTTTTTGGGTTATTTTCATTGACTTTTCCTTTATGATTGGCTTTTTTTCTAGGTGATGTAAAAACACAGCATGTGTCTAACTTCTTTAGCACTTGTGTGCTCATTCTTGACATGACCCACACTTGGAAATTCCCACACCAGGTGGCCCTTGGCCCACAGGGCTGTAGCCACTCTCTAGGGTGCCCTCTGACTTCCTGTGTATGAGCAGCATCCATCCATTATGTAGGGCAGGCCTGCTGTGCTGGGCTTTTGCACTTCCTCTACCTGGTGCTCTGACTGTCCCTTTTTGTGGTCTGCGTGATACGTAGGAGGGTATTTGTGTGCAGCATTTGCCTGGTGCTCTGTGCTCTGACCACAGCCCAGGCACTGGGAGCACAGGGTCTGGCGGGAGAGCAGGCCTTTCAGCCACCCTGCTGCAAGTGCTGCAGTGCTGTGGCACGTGTGAGAGCACCTTGCTAGCTGGGCCGTCTGTGGGTGGGTTCGTCATTCTTCCCTATCACCTCCCTCTTTCTTTCTCTAAACTCTCCCTGCGTAGAGGATATTGGAAAGACAAATGGCAGAATGAGAATTAAACATGAAGAATTTGTTCTTTGAATGCTTGAGAGAGGGGCAGGACGGGGCATTCCCAACTGAGGTGTTGTGGTCAAAGGCGAGGGGAGCCAAGAAGGGGCACTCTCCACCTAGCACCTCTGCTGGGCACAGTGGGCTTGGCTGTGACCCTGTTGAGTGTCTCTGCCATGTGTGGACTGCCAGGCAGCCAGCACTGCACACACAGGGTAGATCTGCCCAGCACAGCTGCCTCTTCCTTCGGCTTCTTCAGGACCCTACCTTCTCCCTTGCTGTCCTGGGCATCAGAAGGGTCTGTCTGATCACTGTTTTACCTTGGTCTGGTCCTGTCTTGCTCAGGATCTGTTACTAATAGTTTGACTTGATTTTGTCTACATTAAACAGTTAATTTAGTTTCTAATATATAATGCATTTAATGCAAGATGACTTTTTTTATTGAAATACCTGAAGAAAAAATTAGCTTTATTGTTGCGAGTGTGAAACTCTGGCTCTTAAGTGCCCTCTTTTCCCTGTTGAGATCATTGCTTTTGGATGAATTTTGAAGTTGTGCCAATTCATAAAAAGCTGGCTGTCTCCTCAGCACCTACCATGTGAGGGTGCTGGCTGCTCTGACACTATCTTCTTTCAGTTGACCTTGCTGCCCTGCAAGTAGCCCTCAGAAACCCAGCTGGGGGAGGCAGGCTGCCTGCAGAGGGCCTTATGATGCCATCTTCTGGGAGGGGCTGGCTGATGTGGTAGGAGTGCTTGGGGGCCCAGAGCCAGCCAACTCATGGGTGTTTTCATGCATTTAATTTAAACAAAAGCATAGAATGTAAAAAAAAAAAAAAAGGCTTAAAAATGTTAGTTTTCTTTTTGCCACATTCTGGCAAAGAGAAGGGGTGGTATCATTGTTCTGTGTTTGCTAAGTGATAATTACAAGTGTGGAGACAGATGTGGTTTCTTGGGAGCCAGCGGGGCTGTGCCAGAAATGCTTTTTGCTCCTTGAGGGAGGAGGCATGGGGAGCTCAGCCCATTGCCTGGGACAGAAGCCCCCAAGACTTGGAGCAAGGCTGGAAGGGTCAGTGGTCCAGCCCCAGAGTGGGCTGTGGGGCCAGAACCATAGAATGGACATGCACTGAGTCCACACATAGGGGATGGGTGTGTGTGCAGACACACAGTCCTGGGTCAGAAGCGGTGGAGATTAGCTTGCATGATGATGTGGCCTAGCTATGGATTGAAGACGATGCCCTGTAGGGGAAGATAGTCCAGGTGGGTGAAGAGATGTTAGCCGAAGCCTTGTGTGTCCTGGGGTGACTTCAGGTGGCTAGGATGGCCCTAGTGAGAAGAAGACTCAGAAAAACCCACCCAGGATCATCACTTGCTCCCCCAGGTTGGGGTGAGCCTTTGGAAGTTTGGGAAGGTGAGGAATCCAAACTTATGTTTTATAGACTAAAGTGAAGTTGATGGAAAAAGCAACTTTAAAGTAGGAGGATAGCACAAATACCTAGAGAAGTACTCAGATCAAACCGTGTCAGCCACGCCCTGGAAGACAGTGAGTGTGCCTTCCGGTAGGTGGGCCTGTCCGCCCTGCAGTGTTCCAGGGCTGGTATTAGGGCTCCTAGGGCCCTTGCCTACTGGGCTCAGGGAGGGTTTATGATACAGCTTCTTGGGTGTCTGCTGTCCCAGGGCTGCCAAAAGGCTGTCTCTTGGTCTCTTTCCTGGTCAGGTCTCTGGGGACTCACCATTCCTGTCCCAGCTTTGCCTTGGGTGGTGTGACTTCCATGGGGACTAGGCCTCCATCGAAGAAATGGGATATTGCTAAGTAGAGAAAACAAAAGAAATGAGTAATTCCCCCAAAGGTTGTGATCCTCTTCCTGTTACTGGATGTAAGGGCTCAGGCTGTGCTTGTCTGAGGACTTTGTGTTCAGGTGGGTGTTCTCATAAAATGCCTGGGAACCTCTGAGGAAGAGTTGTGGTGATGCTGGGGTGAAGAAGGTGGTTGTAGGTCATTGTGCATTTTGGGTCAGAAGTCTTGTGCCTCCTTTAAAATGTTGACCCCACATTCTCATCCCCGTGGCTGACCTGGGAATCCACATCGCAGCACCCTCTCTAGCTTCAGGCCTGACAACAGCAGCAGTGGTGAGCTGTCCTGTGAGACACCTGCCAAGGGGTCTGCAGACTGTGCATTTGTTAACGAAGACTTTGAGTTATTCCTAGGACTCTTAATAAAACTGATTTTCTCCTCAGTACCTAGTGCCATGCACTGAATTTTGCTCCCCAAATTCCTGTGTTGGACCTCAAGTCCCACTGTGACCGCACTTGGAGGCATGGCCTCATTAAAGTTGAGTGGGGCCAGGGGTGGGGCCCTGCTCCAACAGGACTGTGGCTTTGTTTCTAAGAAGAGGATGAGATAACAAGTGCTCTCTCTCTCTACCATTGAGGACCCAGCAAAGAGGAGCCATCTGCAAACCAGGAGTCAGACCTCACCAGAGCCCAGCTGTGCTGGCTCCCTGATCCCAGCCTCCAGTCTCCAGAGCGTCAGAAATGAACGTCTGTTGTTTAAGTTGTTCAGTCGAGCATTTTGTTATGGCAGCTGGGAGACGGAACACCCTCATGAATGTTGTGGCAAGTCTTTGGGAGAGCAGCCTGCACTTGCCTGGGGTGCAGGCCCCTGCAGAGATACAGAGATGTTGTCCAGTCACTTATGGACCGTTGACAAGCTGGATGGAAGGCCAGTTTCTTTAACATGAAGGTATGTGGTTGTCAGCGTTCTGCCCAAGAATGTCCTCTTGCCCACTCTGGGCCCTATGGTTAGTTAACTCATGAATTATTTAGAGCTGGTTCTTTTTTCACTTGTTAAACCAAATGGGAAGGCCAACTCATACTTAACACAAGAGCAAAGGCAAGAAGAGCATAATTACTGCATCAGGAGCTAATTAGGAAAATGCATGTACTTAAATACCTCTCTCTCTCTCTCTCTCTCTCTCTCTCTCTCTCTCTCTCTCTCTCTCTCTCTCTCATGCTTTTGATCCTAATAGCAGCTGTGTGAGGTAGTACTTTTACCCCTCCTTTATATTGAGGCATAATTCCCATAACGTAAAATTCACCATTTTCAAGTGAATACTCCTGTGGCATTGAGTACATTCACAGTGTTGTGCAGCTTTCACATCTGTCTGATTCCAAAACATTCCATTCTCCAAGGCAAACCCCATCCCTGTGAAGCAGGGGCGCCCCTTCATCCCTCCACCTGGCACTTGGAAGTCATCCATGTACTTTCTGTCTCTGCAGCTTTGCCTGTTCAGGACACTTCATACAAATGGAGTCACACCACGTGTGGTCTTTGTGAGTGACTTCTTTCCCTGAGCATGTTTTCAGGGTCATCCCCATTGTGGCATGTCTTAGAACTCCATTGTGCTATTCCGTCATAGCAATGCACCACATTTTAAAACCATTTTTCTGTTGATGAACATTTTTTCCCCCTACCTTTGGCTGTTTGGAATAGTGCTGCTGTGAAATTTCTTATATGAGTTTTTGTTTGGGCAATTACCATATGAAATTCCTGGGTCATATGGTAATTCCGTTTAACTTACTGAAGAACTGCCAAATTATTCTCCACAGCAAGTACACCATGTTATCTTACCAAGGTGAAGATTTCTTACTCTTGATTTAGTGAGTGAGGGTCTGGGGTATGGGGAGACAGAGGGACTTGCTGTGGATGGGAGTCATTTGGTGACAGAGGCAGCTCTGTGTGGTCAGTTGGCAGGCCTGGCAGGCCCCTGCCCCTGCCCTGGTGTGCACATCAGTACCAGGTACCTATAGGCTGGTGCTATGAGGACATTAATAGGTGGCTCTGAGAATAGGGCCATTTGTAGGAACAGGCAGAGGGAAGGATGGTTTGAAGGAGTGAGCAGTGCCAACTGGGGCTCAGTTTTGGGTTCTGCATCTTTTTTTTTTTATGAGCTTCTTTTTTATTATTAATTAATTAATGTATTTTAATTAGGTATATATGACAGCAGAATGCATTTTGATTCATTGTACACAATTGTAGCACAACTTTTTATTTCTCTGGTTGTACCTGATGTAACATCACACCATATGTGCAGTCATACGTGTACCTAGGATAATGATGTCCAACTCATTCCACCATCTTTTCTGCCCCCCATACCCTATCCCATCTTCCCTCCCTTTTGCCCAATCAGTTTCTCCATTTTTCCCATACCCCCGCTCCCCATTATGGATCAGCATCCACTTATCAGAGAGAACATTTGGCCTTTGGTTTTTTGGGATTGGCTTACTTACTTTGCTTAGCATGATATTCTCCAACTCCATCCATTTACCTGCAAATGCCATAACTTTTTCTCTTTTAATGCTGAGTAATAGTCCATTGTGTATATATACCACAGTTTATTTATACATTCATCCATGGAAGGGCATCTAGGTTGTTTCTACAGTTAACTATTGTGAATTGAGCTGCTGTGAACATTGATGTGGCTGCATTACTATAGTATGCTGATTTTAAGTTCTTTGGGTATAGACCCTAGGAGTGGGATAATTGGGTCAAATGGTGGTTCCATTCCAAGTCTCCATACTGCTTTCCAGATTGGTTACAGCAATTTGCAGTCCCACCAGCAATGTATGGGTGTGCCTTTGCCCTCACATTCTCGCCAACACTTACTGTTGTGTGTATTCTTGATGACTGTCATTCTGATTGGCGTGAGATGAAATCTTAGAGTAGTTTTGATTTGCATTTCTCTAATTACTAGATATGTTGAACATTTTTTCATATATTTGTTCATTAAATGTATATCTTCTTCTGAGAAGTGTCTGTTCAGCTCCTTAGCCCATTTATTGATTAGTTTGTTTGTTTTTTTGGTGCTAAGTTTTTTGAGTTCTTTATGTATCCTGGAGATTAGTGCTCTGTCTGACATGTGTGTGTCAAAAATTTGCTCTCAAAATGTAGGTTCTCTCTTCACCTCATTGTTTCTTTTCCTGAGAAGATCTTTGATACAGGTACCTGTGATTTTAGGATTGGAACTGTGACCCTGGTTGGCCAACAGCCACAGCATCTATGTCCTTCCTGCCAGGATGTGCCATCTTCTGTCTTGTGCTGCTCTCACCCTCCACCTCACATTGATAGTCACAGAGGATTTGCCTTCCCACTCTTTGTTTGGGGGTGATCCCCCCTCATGCCACCCTCTGTGTGCATAGCTCTTGTGGCACCTGGCAGAGGCTAGCTTGTAGTCAGTAATGTGTGATCAGCCGTTGCCAATGCCCTGTGTGGCGATGGCAAATCACACTCATGTTGTGAGCAAAACACTTGCCTGAGATGAAGGTCCTGCCCTGTAGCCTCCCGCTTCTGGAATATCTTGTTGCCCATGACACTGCCTGTGCTCATAGTAAGCTGCCATGGCACTTCAGTTACCTCAGCTCTTGCTGCTGCGCACCAGACTGCAGGATGCATCCTGGTTCTTGCGGGTGGCAGAGCAGAGATGGCAGAGGGGGCTTAACTCAGATGTGCGTTGTCACATTCTTGGATGATGATGATGGTTTCCTGGCAATTCAGATCAGTGTGAAGCAGAGCACCACAAGCCGAGGAGGTTTGTACTTGCTGAGTGAAGGAAATGTTGCAGGCTGCTCCCAGCTCTCCTCTTTGGTGTAACCACTAGGGAGAGGCTGGTGGTTCTACTCCTGCTGATTCCTTCCACCCACTGGCATGTCAGCCCTGCTGCTTGTTCAGCAGTTGGCCTGCAGGTAGAGGAGCTAGAGGGAGGCTTGCTGCCTTCCTTGTGGGCTCTGTGTGATGTTGGCATAGCCTCCCACTCATAGCCTGTGATAATGTGGGCAATCTCTGTCCCTCCTTGATTTGTTTCCTCGTTCACTGAGAGTTGGTGGAGCTTGCTAAGTTCTAGGGCCCCAGGAAGTGCCGTTAGGCTAGTTCTCCCACAGTGCTCTCCTGTGTTTATTCTGGGACTGGAGTTGAGAGTACATGTCTTTTCAGTGGAGGAGGTGTCAAGTCCTGTTCCTCAGTAAAAGCTGGCCCTCTCACCTGTACCTGGAGTTCAGATGAATGTGTATGCTGGCCACCAGAACTAGGTGTTTCTGTGGGGTCTGCCTCTAGCCTGTGGTGGGACCTTGGGTACACTGCTCCTTGTGCCTGCAGCTGGGCACCTGGTCTGTGAAGTGAAAGGGACAGTTATGTGATTTTATCATGTGGGTGCCTTCTTGTGATGCTTTGTTCAGTTTAGAGCTTAGGACCCTTGTCTTGGCAGGTAACAGAGGAGGGAACCTGTGTTTGGATGCATGGGCACCTTCTCTCATTGTAGGTGGGAGTCCTGGCTACCTGCTCTGCCCCACTCATGGTGTAAGGCTCTTGGGTCCTCTGGTCCTATCTTTCTTCTTTGCTGGTTCATCTCTGGCCAGCAGTGTCTGGACACAGCTTCCGTGCAATATGTGGTGAAGTTCAAGGAGAGCCAGTGGGCCACTCAGGGAATGGGTGACGCCATTGCAGTATTACAGGACTGCTTGGCATATAGGTGGCACACGTGTGGCTTTGTGTACCTCAGGGAAAGCGTATCACAACGCGAGAGCTCTGAAACCCAACCCAGTGAAAGCAGTGTCTCTCTTGTAGAACATGTTTTGTTCCGAGTCTATAGGAAGCACACAAAGAACTTTCCCAGATCGTGGCACCTCATGTAGGGAGCCTGCAAGGCCCTGAGGTGGCCTCGGGGCCCTGGCCACTCACTCAGAAGGGTCTCTGAGCTCAAAGTGGGTGCCTGTATACTGTGCACTGGGTGACATGCCATAAGCCAAAGCCATGCCGATGGGCTCCTGCCCTACAACCATCAGATCAAATAAGCAAGCAAAGATCAGGAAGATGGAAAGCAAGCGACAAAACCAAGCTGCCGATTTGGACAACTGCTTCCTCTCATGGCTGGGCGTTTCCTGCATCTCTTCTAGGACTTCGAAAACTGGATTAAATCTCATTATAACTTTGTTTCTTGGTGTTCATACTCCTTCTCTTTGGACTGCCAATTTGAGGTTTTTAGCCTGTTTTGTTGAGGTTTTGTTTTCTGGTCTCTGAAAGCACCTCACAGGCTGTTGTCCAGAATGGACTCACTTCCTTTGTACACACTTCTCAGCATGTGCTCTCCTGCCTCCTGCTGATGTTTTGTGCTTTTCTTTATGTGGCAGGGTGACTTCATGGCTTTCTGTGTTTATGTCTGTTTCTCCCTGAAAGAAAAGTCAGTCCTCATCTAGCCTTTATCTCAACACGTGTGGACATTCTCAGCTAGGGCCTCATTTTTTTTTTTTTTTTTGCCTGGATCTTCTTTCACATTTTTGTGACTTTAAGCTGGATGGCTGTTCAATTGAGCCAGTCCCCATATCAGACCAGGGACAGCAACCAGACAGGGGTATTGAGAGGAGACTGAGTAACTCTGGTTTTGATTTTCACCTTGTTTGGTGGGGACCAGTGACCTCTGCCATGGTGCCCCCATCTCCTTTGCCATGTGTCACAGTACATGGCTCTCGGGGAGCCCTGGAGAGGGCCTCAGGGCTCTGCCACCCATGTCTCACATTAGAGCTTATAGAGCCTAAGTGGTTTGATTTCTTTGCTTAATTTAGCAAAAATGTAGGTAGAAGGAGAGTAAAATGCATGTGCTCAATTCAGTAGCTTCCTTGTGCTGGGATGCTGTCAGTTACAGCCTTAATGGAGGGACTGCCCTTGTACATGCTCAGCCATGGCTCTCCATG